CTGTTGTGTAGCTCGTATATTGGACAACATGAGAGTGTCGACCATGTTCTCATTGACTGCCCGTTTACGTCCAGAATCAAGGAGAATATTATGAGCTAGTGTGGAGTAATGCTTGATCAAAGCTCAATAATGACTATTAGGGATCTTCTTCACGCTATTTCTGCATGGGGATGTTGTCCAAAGAAAAGGAAACTGCTAACAATCATATGATATGAAATGTTATGGAATCTATGGCGGTTCAAGAACAAACTTTTGTTTCAAAACGATGGAGTTTCATTGATTCAGAGGACCGAGTCTATCAAAACTATGGTCTTTTATTGGTGTAAGCACAGGGATAAAAAGGTAATTTGTAATTAGGATGAATGGTTAGTGTCCCCTTTTACTGGATTGTAATCGATTGTACTATTATGTATGTTGTTTTGAGTCCCTCATCTAGTTATGTGCTATGTGAGGTCTCCATTATTAATATATTTTAACCTAAACAACCATATATATCACTGGCTCGTTTTTCATGAAGCAAAAGGAGCAAACAAAAGATATTATACGACTCTTCTTTAATTTCTAAATAAGCTTTATCACACTAAAAATAGGAAACCCATGTGTAGTGTAAATATGGGGATGCACGTGCTACTGAAATCGGGATGGCTTATTCACACTATATTAGTTGGAATTGCTTACTAAATTAATTAATTAAATATGTAAAAAGGTAAATGTGTTTAAACCATCTTATACATGCAAATAGACATATTCAACCATGTGTAGTTAATGTGCTATTGTATATATATATATATATATATATATATATATATATATATATATATATATATATATATATATATATATATATATATATATATGGTAAAAATAAAAACTATTATTTATTTTTACGTTAAACCGAGTTGGGGCGACTCGGCGAGTAGGGTCACACAGAAAGGTGGACCTTGACTGAGGACTTTGACTTTGACCAAGACTTGACCAGTTGACTTCCAAGGGTATTTTGGTAATTATTGGTATTTATTGAGATCAATCACTTGGTATTGATCAGTGGTGGGGTTCGTGTCGGAGGTTGGAGCGGCATGATCTTATCTCTTCAGTCAGCAGTTGCGAGGTGAGTTATCCTCACTATATCGACAGGGTCTAAGACACCAAAGCTGGCCCTTTATCGGATGGAAATCCGGGTAGTTGTTATGTTATTGCTTTGCTATATGTTTGCATCCTGGTAGTTAGGATGGTATATGTTAGAGACCTGGTTAAGGTCGGACACCTGGTATATAGGATGATGTTATGTTAGTAACCGGTTAAGTCGGTGTCCTGTAGGGCTGTGCATGGGTCGGTTTGGGTCGGTTTTAGACCCAAACCCAACCCAACCCATAAGTGGTCGGTTTCTGGTTTTCAGAACCCAATAGGATTGGTTTCTGGTCGGTTCGGTTTCTCGGGTTCTGAGGTCGGTTTGGGTGGTTTCTCGGTTTCTCAGGTTCAACCCATACATTCACGGGTTCTGGGTTTTAACCCATTTTCCATAAATGAAGCAACAAGTTAAATACTTCAAAAAATACCAAATTTAAGTTAAATACTTCAAAAAACATGAGCCTTACAACAAATAATCTATTACAAGTTACAACCAAAACCCGAAATATTCTATTACAACCAAAAAACAATTAAGTATGGGTCGGTTTCTTGGGTTGGATGGGTCGGTTTCTAGGTAAAAACCAAAACCGAACCCGATTTTTCGGTTTTTAAAAAATTCAAACCCAAACCGTCAGTTTTGTTTTTTTCGCTTTTGGTTTCGTCAGTTTTAATCGGTTTTTCGGTTTCGGTTTCGTCGGTTTTAATCGGTTTTTCGGTTTCTTGGTTTGGGTTTGCTCACCCCTAGTGTCCTGGTTAGAGTGTGCTATGTATGTGATATGCTAGATCGGTTTATTAGTGATGAATTGATATATGATTATATGCTTATGTGGACATGGTTGATTGACTGGGGTTGGGTTGAGGCGGGTCCTGCTTTGTGTTGTAGGCCAACATACCCAGGGCAGACCGGATATCTCGAAGGCCCAGCGATCGGACCAGATAGGTTGTAGGCCCTACGAGGGTGGACCAGACGTGCTGAGGTTCGGAGAGTAGACAAAGGCCGACTGAAGGCCCAGTGCGGGCGGACCAGTCATACTGTAGACTCAGAGAGTAGACCAGGTGGGTTGAAGGCCCGATGAGGGCAGACCAACCACAATGTAGACTCGATGTATGTTGCTAGACTCGAAGGGTAGACCAAGTGGACTGAAGGCCCGGTGCAGCGGACCAGTCACACACTAGACCCGAAGTGCATGGTTGTTCTGTTATGATATGATATGTTATGAGTATGGTATATGTGGTTGGTATTTTGGGGGTAACTCACTAAGCTTTCGGGCTTACAGTTTTCAGTGTATTGTTTCAGGTATTTCAGGAGATCGTGGCAAGGCGAAGGCGTGATCGTACCGCTCCTCATGTTTTATGTGTTTATGATGTGGTTCTGGGAAATACTCTGATAATAAATGAATTGAAGATCTTTTTGTAATAAATTAATGAATATGGGTTGTTTTTGAAAAGTTTAAATTGGTTGAAAATTTTGGATGTTACACATAGGGCATAACCCTAAGTCCAAACTCCTCCAATAAGGCTCAAAAGTCTTTCTTCTTTAATTAGCCTAACATCCAAGGTCCAAAACAATAATGGGCCACAAGGCCTAAAAGGCCCAAACATGCCATCTATGGTCCAATAACAAGTTCAAAGGCCTAATTACTCTAATAGATCTAGGTCCAAGGTTAAATAGGGCCCAAATGACTCAAAACCCCAACGTAAGCCCAAAACTCACTGGAAGCATATGCCCAGCGTACATCATCAGTACGCTGATGTACGCTTAGCGTAGTAGGTCCTTTGGTGGTACGCGCAGCGTACAAGCTATTTTGCACAAATAGCCATTAAGTGCTTAATTCATGTAGCCACTTCGTCCAATTCTAGATCTTGGTCATTTTAAAGGTCCTAGGGCATAAAGTTGGCAACTTTATGCCTTCGCATGCCATATGGAAACCCAAATCCTCATTTAAGCCGTTAGGACTCCCTTTAAGATCTTAAACTCATGCATGGTGCCATAACAACCATCAAGTTAGCCTTTTTATGCTTTTAACATGCCAAATGAACTCAGATCTAACATTACTAACCTCTGGAGTTGCTCAAACTCACAAGAGAGGATCCATGGACCAAAAATGGACTTATTACCAAACCTTAACTCAAACTGGAAAAAGGATTAACCAGATATGAGCTTTTTACCTCCAAATGCTCCTCAACATGTTCTAGATGCAGGTTCAAGAAGTTCTCCCACGTCCAAGACTTACTCACGTCCTCCTTCTTGTAAACACACCAAAAAGGGTTACTTTTGGCACCTTCAAGCTCAAGGTCACTCTCAATGGTAACTAGGGTTTAGGGACGTTTAAAGGCAGTGGAGGCTGGTAAGGAAGAGGGTCCAAGGTCATAAATGAGCTTAAATAGGGCTCAAGTTTGAGAATTAGGGTTTTAGCCTTTGGCTTCGTACGCCCCACGTACAAGCTTGTACACCCCACCCCGCATACGAGCATAGGCTACATGATGCACAAACTTGTGTACGCTAAGCTTACATACATGTACGCCTAGTGTACGGAGGGTCCTCTTTTTCCAACTTTAAATACATCAAGGGCTTAAAATGAAATACATGGATTTGGATGTTACAATATGCTTGTTTTATATGTTTGTGAAGTCGGTTTATTATAGACTTCCAACTCATCCCCACTTAAATACTCAACACACTAAGGGGATTCCATAAAAAATAAATAAATAAATAAATAAGATTGTATTTGTCTTGGTTTTTTTTTTACAAATCAAACTCCCAAAACCTGTGATACACAAATAAGGATATGTAATGCAAAATGATTAAATGAGGCCGTGGGGTCACTTCTTAGCATGGAAAATGGCCACTTTGAGATTAAAATAAGAAAGACCATGTTGAAATAACACACTGAGAAGTCTTTTCCTTGTGTAATCCTCCTCGTGCCAATTATCCATATTGGGCGTGATCATTGTAATATATAAACCAGGACATGTACTACAAACTCATATTCACAGATCATGTATATTATTTCCCTATGACTGAAGATACAAAATTCACATGTATCATACAAAATGTAAACTCATATGTGAGTTTAGACTTAGGGTTTCCGGTGTGTAATGGAAGAAAATTTGAGAATTACGTTAACATAGCGATTCTTTCGCAACAGGACATCCATTTTGAGAAGAAAAAACACACACGCACATACACTTTCGTGGATTTTGGCATTACAATCAAGAATGTGGGCATTTATTAACTTTAGCACATTTATTTTTTCTAGTAAAAACTAAAACATATTATAAATTTAAAGAGCTAACCATTGATTACTTTGATTATTACAACTTCAAAAAAGGTCATCTTAAAACATCATTGTTTATGATTCAATGTAATACAAAAGACAATTGCTTCCCTAGAATTGTTATATTTAAAAAACTTTTAAATAAATATTAATCCACATTTCAAAAATTCAGTAATTGAAAACAAACTTGCAAACTATCAATCTACTTTATGATACTATCAATCTACTTTATGATTCAACTGAGAGGAGTGGCAGGCACCATCACCCTCACTAGCCTTGCTAGCATGTGGGTACACCACTCACTAGCACACGCCAACGCCAAGGAGCCTCCAGCTTCCACACGTTGATTTACCAACGAGAAGAAAGAGAATGAAAAAAGGGTAACGAGAAGAAAGAGAAGGAAAAATGGTCGGTGGTATTCTTTGACTGGTTTTTTTGTTTTTGTTTTTGTCTTTTTATAAAATCGAAGGGCTATGATTGGTGTTTTTTTTTTCTAAAACCCAAGATGTACAGGTGTTTATTACAAACTTGTGGTTACATGTAAAAATATGATTTAGCAATGGTGTTTATGATAGAAACTTGTGGTTACACATGCTAGACTTTGAACAAAATAAAAAACAATTTGTTGCAACTTTCAATCAACCACAAGCACAAGGAAACATGAAAATAATGTGAAGAGCCGAAGGAATTGTAAGCGAATATTCACCAATGTAGTATAAAAATGATGATTCCCATACATTACAAGTATGTATGTATGTATCTCCCTCCAAACACAATTCCGACGCACACAATTCCCCTATATTTTCCTACATAAAAATAAAAACACCCACCCACCTACCACTACCACTACCAACGCTGCTCTACACCACCAGCCACACATTAAATTTAGATGTGCCCAAAAGCCCTCTCTCTCTCTCTCTCTCTCTCTCTCTCTCTCTCTGTCTGACTCTTTGTACTCAGCTCACCTCACAATTAGAGAAAAATTTGAGCCATCTACTTTACTAGTTTTTTGGGGATTTAGCAAAGGCAGAATCACACTCTGCCACAAGTAGTAACAAAAAGAAAACAAAGGAAGGAAGGAAAATTAGCTACATTCATATTATATTAATTAGTCGGTGTCTTCTTCTATGAGTCAACCATTTCATCTTGAATCTCATTGGGGGCAATAAGTCCAGGAATGCTAAGCATTCGCTGTCTTTCTCTTTCTTTTTGAGCAGCTGCTTCTTCTGCATATAGATCCTTGTTGTCCTGTAGTGCACAAACAAACCAAACCAAACCATCCATCAAAAAATATATAGCATAATTCATAAACATATTTAGGTATATATTATCACAAACAAACATTACCTGTGCTGAAAATTCTTTAGACTGCACGAGGAAGTCCCGTATGTGGTTCTTAAATGTAGAAAGGTCGGATCTCGACTCAAACAGTCCATTCACAAATTTTGCAACCTGAAATAATTACACATGTACATCCATCAGGATAATATCTAAACATATATATATATATATATATATATATATATATATATATATATATATATAAAGTAAAGAAAGTTAATAAACAAACATCAGTTTTAGTTTTAGTTTTTTTACCTCAGATGCTGGAATATTGGGAAAAGAGGCACCAAGAAGCTTAATAGTGTACTCTCTCACAAACATGCCGTTGTTTGGATACGGATAAGAAACAGTTGAGGCGTCCCACAAAGGCTCAGTCAATGAGCCAGATTCCACCTACAATTAATTGCCATGTCAGCATATATTTATTTATATTCAAATACAAAAAAGAGTAGAGATGATATCCATACCAGGCAGAATAAGTGCTGCAGCACCAACACATGCAGCTTAAAACCCGGTTTATGGAATGTGTCAGTCAGCACAGCAAATATTTCTTGCACAATCAGCACAAAGTAAGACCGGTAGAATTGATTACAAAACTCCGACTTCTGCAAAAATCAAAAATCAAAAATATGAAATAAAACCAAGTTTTTATCTAGTCAACTGTATGTATGTATGTATGTATTACCTGAAAGTTTTTAAGCATCTCCAACAAAAGATTAAGCCCAGTTTCTGCAATGTTTCTCTCAGTGTGTCGAAAAGCCCACATCACAGAATCCATTACCAGCTTTAATTGCTGATGAAGAACAAAAAGGTAAAATTACTACTTCATGAAATTATAATCATATAAAATAAAAGGAATTGAAGACAGACCTCGGGTGACAACAAGATTAAAGCTTGAAAACAATGAGTAGCAATGGCCCGAAGTAATGAAAAGAACTTGAGTCTGTGTTCAGGGTAATCTTCAAAATTCTTGGTAATCATCTGTAATTGTTAAAAAATAAAGATATAAGTCATGGAATTTGGAACCAAGTAAGTTTAAAATACATGATTGTAAGTAAGTTTGTAACCTCAAGTGTACACTGGAAAACAGCTTCAAATATACGAGGAACATCATCTATCATTGCACCCTTGTACCTACATTCAAAAAGTTGATAAATACAAGAACTCTAACCAAAATATCAAATGTTGGAAGAAGAAAGAGATATACTTGTTTATAATTGTGGCAAAGAGAGATAAAACTTCTGATTCTCTAGCATCAGGCAAGTTTCTTGCATAGTCACCAAGCACAGGATCCATCATTGGGGGCACAAATTGCTTCCCAATCTGTGGTTGATCTTCAGCCTTATCCAGAAACGTCTCAATCAGCTTAAGGGTTTCCCTCTTCACTGACCTGTTAAGTGTTAACACATATATCATATGATTATAATAATTAAGTTAAAAAAGGTCATGCAGTTTGCAAGAATATTACCTCAAAAGCTTCACATAGGATGTTTTAGAAGCAAAGGGCCCCCCTTCAGCAATGCCAGATGATATAAGTTCACTGTACATTCTGTTCAATGCATTTAATCAGACAGTAAGCAAGTGTTAATTACTTTATTATTTGATAGAACATGCATTTGATTAAGGTGAGTAACAACATACTTGTAAACATTAAGCATGTCCAAAAAGATTAGAGTTATTTGTGGTAAGAAATGTGTTCCAAGTGCAGTGGCAGCACTTGTATTTGTCTGCAAAAAGCAAAGACTTTATTAATTAAATTAAACAAGAACCATTTAAATATTATATTCAGTAGTATAAACACAAACCTGCAATATGTTAAGCACAGTCCTAATAACATCTTGATCTTTCAAGAAATCCACATTTCCACGTGCATGTCCTATGATTTCCACCCATTTCTGCATACAGCAAACATATGTATCATGAGACACAATATTAAGAAATATCCTTTTCTAGAAGCATCCTACCCTACCTGATTGGGAAGATCCATCAGCCTCTGCAGATACTCATCACGTTTTGTTGCCTCAGATTCTGCTTGAATCATATGACCAACCTACCATACCAACAACATCAAATAAGTATTTTTGTCAAAATAAATAAATAAATCTCAATACTTGAGACTCTTAAAACTTACTGATTCATAAAACGTATGTATCTGGTGAGGCTCAAGGTCAACAATGGTTGTTGGAAGAGTTGTAAGAAGTTCTGAAACAAACGGCTCATTCTCTCCAACCTGAAACAAACAACAAATCTCATCATCTATATTCTATGATTCTATCCTATCTTTTATGCATATAAAATAATATCAAACTTTAATTTTTTTTTTTTAAAAAAAGAATATATGTTACCTGGACTATGACAAATTTGCGCTTGCATTTCTGTACAATCTTCAAAAATGTATCACAAGCCATATCCTGAGATCAAAATTAAACCATAGTTAGGACAAACAATATTTACTAGAAATAGAAAGAATTGAGCATTAAAAAAAAGATATATATAACCTGAACTCCTGGATGTGTTTCATGCATGAACTCAAACAACTTGTTCACAACTGTTTTCAAAAACTTCCAATGGGCCCGCAAGAATCTTGGATATTGTCCAACAACATACCTGGTGGTTGCAAACAGTTCCAATCAATTAATTTCTTCACCGATGCAATATATTACAAAATCAAGGTTTAATTTATAATTTTTTTAAAAGGTAAAAAACCGTAAACAACCATACATGATATTACTCGCGATAACAGCTTTGTTGTCCTTTCCTTTTGTTATTTCACAGAGATTCAGTAGATCACGAATGACCATAACAAGAAACCTATTCTCCTGTCAAACAAGAACACATCAACAAAATGCAAATAGTTTGTTATTGTTGTACATGAGTAATATACTGAACACCAATTAGGTGCAAACCTGGTCTTCCATCATGGACCCTGAGATAGATCCAATTGCCCAACATAGTGTATTCAAGTTATTCCAAGTCCAATCCTCACCATTCAACTGTTTACTCAGTTTCTTCAGCATCTGGTGACACACAGGAGGAATAAAAAGTATAAATAAAAACAACATGTCATTGTAATCCTAAATGTCATTTGCACAAAAATACTTATTGAATCATACCTGTTTTTCAGTATCATCATGGTCAAGATGTGACAAGTAGATAAGTGTCTCCCTCATAATCTGCAAAAAAGTTCTAGCTTATGAGCTATTCTATTTTCCTTATTCTACTTGTGCATGATTATGTTTTTCTCATTTAGCTTAAATAATCAAGAAATCACCTTATACTGAACAAGGACATCATTGTCCTTCAAGGTTTCACGAACAATATTCCCATTTTCATCCTCCACAATGAGAACCTCTTCAGGCTTTGCCATGCGAGATATCATAAGTAATCTTAACTTAGACATGGGCCCCGCATAAAGTTGCCTTCTTTGCAACAATTGTGTCCCTGGGCCATCAACCATACCAAGCAGTGGCATCTGCATTGCAAACATAATTATTTTCAAAAAAGACACATAATATATGTACGATATACACATATGCTACAAATGACATGACATACATGCAGCCCCATCATGTTTGCATTTTCAAGATTGTGGTTTGCCTCAAAAAGCTCCAACACAAGTGAATTCCAGTAATCCAAGCAAACCTGTTAAACACATCAACAAAAATGAAAGATCAAAAAAAAATGTATGTTACATATTGAATTACGAAACAGAAAAACAAAAAAAATAATAATACCTTAAAAACCTCCGTGTCATCAACATATGAAATGTTTATGAGATACTCCAACCCCGTTAAAAGTGAATTGATGTTTTCTTGTGTAGACTCCAGTACACGAATATGAAACTGCATGCAGAAACACCACATCAGATGTTAAACTATTCAAAAAAAATAAAGCTAACATGTACCACATACACAAACAAAAAGAACAGTTAAAACAAATACTTGCCTTGTAAAATGAAGTGAAAAACAATGCTAGATTCTGAATAAATGCCTGTTCCTCACTAGAGCCATTTGCATATGCATCAGGTATATTTGTAGTTGTGGGGAGAACAGTCTAAAACAATCAAAAAATACCATATGATTAAATTCATTAAACACAAGCCCGAACAATGAAGGAAAAAATGGAACATATAACAAAAAATCAACCCATTAAAGAAATTTGCATATACCTGCAACTGGACCATGAATATGTTATACATGTTTACATATTGCATATTGTAGAAATCCCCAAAGTTAAGAGCTGCAACCTGTGCCAATTAATGAAAACAATATTAGTTATATCCATTACAAAAAAAGTCAACAACAACCTTCCCAGAAAGTAAAAATAAGCATTACCTCGGTCAAACACTGTAGGGTCAGATTCCGATATGATGGCACAGGAAAAAACTTAAGAAGTGTTTCCAGCTGTAACATGTATAATAGCATCAATTGCAATTTCCTAACAAATGTAACTACAGTTTTATTGAGGAGATTAATAAAAAGAAATACACACCAGTGGAGACTCAAAAATATATCCCAAAGGGATCCATGAAAGAAAAGCATGCAAAGTGGCTAAAGTGGCCCTGATCAGCTCAGTTCTTTGAGATGCTGAAAGTACATATAAGCATAGCTCATGAATGAGTTGAAACTCGCTGTTCAAAGATTGTTTCAGCTCTTTTATCTTCTGTTGGGTCATTTCACCCCTTGAAAAGTCAAACACCTCCTCACTTAAAAGCTGTGAAAAATAAAGATATATACTTAACCATATACACTAGAACAAATATAAATGAATAGAGATCTTATCTATGAAACATACTTTCAGTATAGCCATGCAGTTCTCACAAATAGTTTCACTTGTTTTTGCTGCTGTAACCAGATCAGGAATGAAACTTCGCCACCTGGCTGGCCACTCATGCTTCAAAATCTGCATATTCATTTAAAAATCAATTATCATAGTGAAACTTAGAAAAGTATAACATACAAAAAAAGCAAAAAAGAGCTCACCTGAACTAGAATAATGTTAAGTTTATTAACATATAACCTTTCTTGGCGGAAAGAGCCCTCGTTGCTTGAAAGCTAAACAACAGAAGAAAACTTTGAATTAAAATCTTATGTGACAGAAACAAAGAAAGAAAACAGTGTCATGAAAAGTATAACTACATCACTCACACCTTTACAATAACATCAGAAATGTAGTTTTTCATTCCATCTCGTTGCTCAACAGGCAATACGTTCCACCTGTACTTGATGACACCTTCAAGAACCTGTACAAAGAATATGAAGTCGTTTTCATATGCTTGAATACATGGTATTGTTGAGAGGTATTGAATGACAGAAGTCATAAATAATGGACCTGTAAAGAGAAGAACTTGGTGTTCAAGTTTTGTGTGTTTGATAGGATGTGAACCACTTGAAGCCACATGTCTGGATTATTTTGCAATTCGCGCAGTATATGGTCAGCAGCAGTCCTCTGCAATGTTACAGGATACAACAAATAACTTATTTGATAGATTGAGTGTGTTTGGTGCAATTTAGTACTAACGACGTATCAACAATTCAAATTACGACTTCAATTTTGTGAGGATTACATTTTTTTCTTAAGAACTTCCCATAGATGCCCAATAAGCATAACCAGAAAAATTAATTACTTCACATGTATTATAATGGAGGCAAAAATCTCAAGGTAGTCCGTTCGGCCTAGCAATTGAATGTGTACTGATCGAATAACCCGGATACAGGCAGAAACGAAAACAAAATCTATTTTTCGGTAAGAAATTGCTACTGATATATGTATGGATAAGAAGAAATGGAAAAAAACGTATAATGAACGGGGCAAACCTCCTCTTTAGATCCAGTGCCATAAAAGGCTGCAACGGTAGCATCAAGTAACGCAACATCAATCGGCTGACTCAAGTCCCTAAGCTTCTCCGCCGCCATCGCAGAGGGATCAAGTAAGATTATAAAGTAAAACCCTAGTTGAAACTGTAGGGGTGGGTTTCTTAAAACCCCTCGAAAGAGTACGAACGAAACCCTAGAGTGTACAAAAGCACGGAGACCGAATACCCGGATTGTAGACGGAAAAGAACAAACAAGACAGCTTCAGATTGAAGCACGAGAAAGGGTAGAGAGAAGATCGATGTGAGAGAAAGAAGTAGTGAGAGGGAGACTTTGAAATTGCTATGCTTCCCTCTCTTTTTATACTGCTACGAGTATACCCACCTGGGGTTTGTCAGTTTAGGCCTAAAACACTGCGAGGGTTTTGAATATGAGGGTAAAAGAAAGGGGAACGACTGACCAGCCATGGCCCTTTTTCCTCTTTAAATACACAACGCAAAGGTCTCTCTAGAATCCCCCCAATTGGGGATGTTTCAACTTTCGACCAAGCACTCCACCCACCTCTTTTAGCAATTTACTTTTTTATGTAGATTTTAATTGATTTTGCATTTCATATTTGATATGCTATTGATTTGGTAAAAGATCTATGATGATTTGTTCCAAACAAATATCCTACAAGATGAGTTTATAGTATGATTATATTCGAACACGATGTCCAATGCTTTGTTTGAGTTCAACCAGTCTTCGTTTATTTGGATATAATCCATAATCGGTAAAGGATGTGATGACGACTTTGTAGAGAAAATCGTAAAGAAGTATGCCCATTATTTTTATTCTCATTTTGTGACATTACAATGTCACTTCCCATTGAGGCTTATCAGTGAAGTTAGATGTAAAGTTAGGTGTCAACCTTGAGGGAGCTAGGTGTCAGTCCTCTTAGCAATTGGTACATTGTGACTACACTAGCGGTTTAAGCTTACGGGAGTGGTTGTCTGACTTTTTCAACCACATATCTTACACATTGTGTTCATGGTATTTGCATTCAAGCTTCAATTATGCCTTTGAGACACTCATTCTCGTCCAACGTGCTTCGTTCAAGACATGTTCATGTTGTAGTGAGAATCTTCTTAGTTCAATTATAATGCATCGTTCAATGTGCTTCTTTCAAGACATGTCGATGTTATATTGATAATCTTCTTGATTTGGCTCAACTATAATAACTGGTTCTTTCTCATAATAATATATTTAAAACGATTTCTTCTAAATCATCATTATATTTTCTTATGATAACATACCTCAACTTAATTAATACAAATAAACGCAAAGAAGTTGACTTAATACAATCGATTTAAAGTATTCTCACTTAAATTTTGAATCCTCCTATTTTCTTACATTTGATTTATTATAGTGCAATGGATTAATAAGTTGATTATCGAATATTATAACTACTAGTTCTTTTGATCTAATGAACTAATACAATTGATTATAGAGCAACTAACACAATGATCATGTAATTAGCTAACATAATAGCCTATTAAAAAAGTCTAATTATGAATGATTTGATCTAACGAATTCTTATCAATGGTCATGACTATATATATATATATATATATATCAGCAGCCTTTTAATGATGGTTTGGCCATTTCACGACAGTTCGACCTTTTTCCCGTGGTTCGGCCTTTTAGCGATGGTTCAACCATTTCACGATGATTCAACATTTTTCCTGTGATTTGGGCCATATGTTATGCTATTTCCGAATAAGAAAGGTACACCAGTCAACTCTATCTTCTCATAAACAGTTGTTAAGTTTTCTCCCCAAGAAAAAGATACATCTAACTAACTAACTAACTAGCTAACTATATATATATATATACACACACACACACACATACACCTCTCAACACACACAAAAACGAAGCTCTATGACTCTCTCCATACTCATCACCACACATATACCCGAATTCCTTCCGCTCGAAGGATCCAACCCATGTTTCGTATTGATACTAACTTGATCGTCGGAGGCCGTTTCCAGGACGCAAATCATGGGGAGACTATGATGATTCTCGTTTATGAGTGTAACAGAACCACATTGGGGCTCATTAGCGGCATTGAAGCACCTATATGAGATATCAACTCGATCAACCTCGTGACGGGTTTTCAGGTTACATCAAGTGGCACCATCTGTGGGACCTTGAACAAATAGCTACTGCTCCAGCATGGGGTTTATTTTCATCGTCACATATTGATATATTCTTCCCTGAGGCTTCATATCCTCAGTAATTCGTAGAGATTTGTCTCCAAAGGTTTTATTTCTTAAAATCTTGATAACTCCATTTTACTCATTAATAAGCATGAGTAAGCCAAGAAACCTCAAAAGTTACTGTGTTCTAAAACCTAGTATACATAGATCTAGCACCAGAATATTTCAATTATCTCGCCATTTTTAAGATCTTATTTCTCTTAAAAAAACATATACAATTTAAGACCATGTATGAATCGATGGGTTCTTCGATTTACCCAAAGTGTAAACCTCTCAAGAGTTTAAGTGAAATAGAATCAAAGGTTTCTCATTCTTAAGCATTTTTCTCGCATGTTTTATACACTCTTGAGTTGTACAAGTTGTATGTAATCAAATAATTTGGAAATGATTTAATAATATTAAATCTATAAAATAAATATTACATTTGACATAGTACATCATCAGAGTTGGGTCCAACAAATACATCATCAAATGGCATGTGCGCTATGCTGCTTAGATTGTACTTTTTTACTTTGACTTTCAACATTTGTAACTCTTTGTTTTCGGCAAAAGTTGTCATATATGGTAAAAATAGTGTTGGCTTGTAAACAGTTGTGATATCATAAAGGTACATGTATCCTGTATAAAATTGGCAAATATTTCCATACTACACATAATTGTGCAACAAAAAAAAAATAGTTTCATCTTCTGAAAAATGCCCATACACAGATCTAAGAAGTTTTATTTCTTAAAAGCTCATCTATGATATATTTACTTTATATGCCTGGAAACTTTAAACTAATGTGGAAGAACAAAAACATTGTGAATATCCTAGTCAACTTATGGGAAATCATTTATTTCGTTGCTTCTTTAGTTCTTTCCATCTGAATGAAATCCACACCCATTTTACTCACCTAGTAATCAATTACTTATACAAGTATTTTATTATATCATCAACACACCTCAACCTTAAACCCCAACAACTCCGATGACATATACAAACTATGGTCGATGACACCCAACGAATTATAATCATATTTGATGGCATAAGTGAGATTGGAACTAGATAACATCGTGTTCTTTGTGTTGGATTATGTGTCTAAGACAATAACTGGTTTAGTATGATCTTGAATTATTAGCAAAGTTTTTTGGGGTTTCCATCAAACCTAGTAATTGAATGGGATGACTTTTAGAGAGAGAGAGAGAGAGATTGGTTTATTGACTTATTATATGATTAATAAATAGCAATATATGAATTTATTAATATGTTATGAAAATAATATATTAATTAAAAATAATAATATTTAATTAATATTCAATCCTAAATTAATTATATTAATTTTAGGATTAATTGTATTAATTAAAAGTGCAAGTGTTAAATTGCAATTGTTCAACAGTTGAGTAAGAAATAGTCCATAACATTCCTTGGAAGGAAGTGGACGAAATTAGGGTATTCCAGGGCATGTGGAATATTTTTTTTTTCATAAAATAGAAATTTGGATAATTACTAAATTGAGTTAATACTATTTTATTCAAATTAAGATTATATAGGGTTTCCAGGTTGCACTATAAAAGGACCCCTTAGGCTACAATTTTCGACCACTTGATCCTCAAGAGCCCTAAGCTAAAAATTAGATAGGGTTAATAGAAATTTGGATAATTACTAAATTGAGTTAATACTATTTTATTCAAATTAAGATTATATAGGGTTTCCAGGTTGCACTATAAAAGGACCCCTTAGGCTACAATTTTCGACCACTTGGGTTGTGGTGACTTGGTAAGGCATGTGGAAGATATGGTGGATAACCTATTGACCCATGTTCAAATCCTGGCACCACTCAGCCCTTGTGGCTATGGAGGTTCGCCTGCAGTGACTCCAGGGCATAAGGCAAAGCTTTATGTTTGCAGCGGGGGATTAGTCGGTGCGCGAAAGCTGGCCCGGAAACCCTCGTTAAGGAAGTTCCCTTTCCAAAAGAAAAAAATTAGACATCCCCTCTCATCTCTCAAAAGCTTATTGTTGCTAGTTTTTGGTGTGAACCATCAGAGGCACGACACTTGTGGTGCTAGCTTCCAAGTTATTAAAGAAAGGGTTATTGATTGTTTACTAAAACAATCAAAAGGTATGTTTTTCCTTCTACAATTTTCGAAATTACCTAGGGTTAGTGTGTTCTTGTTGTTCAATAGAATGTTACACCAATAGTGTTATGACTTAAATATTTAGGTTGCATGTACCCTTAAGTGTTAAGGATTTGTCCACGTTGATTCATGTAAAACACATCAGTGGTATTTGAGTGTATAGTTGTCTAACAATTGAATGTATATTGCTTGAACTTGAACAAAACCCAAAGGAGGAAAACAAAATCATCATTTTGTCACTCCACCACGACGTGGTCATCCGCAAATTTGCGTTCTTTTTCATTGGACCACGACATGGTAATTGTTTACCACGACGTGGTGAACCCTCGTATCAGCTAAAAATCGGTTTTTGCTTGATTTGGATAATTACTTTAGATAATGTTTTTAATTATATAAAACTGAATAATTATCCTAGTAATCAGGCATCCATATCTTGAATTTGTGAATTATCCTTGTGTTTTAATTTTAATTATTTGATTAATTAAAATACAAAGATCAAAAACATAATTGGTTTATTTAATTTCGAAATTTCAATTTAAACATTGTATTGTTGAAAAGTTTTAAAATACACATTATATATAATATATTAAAAGTTAATTACTATACGTATAAGATTAAGTCACTCAAATCGCTAGTACGTATCATTCACGAAGCCATACTACAAGGACAGTTTAAGGAAACGACCTATAAAATGATTTTCATTGGGTATCTATTCTTACTCACCGTTCTCTTGTATGGTGAGCGTCGTTAGTCGAACATATTTTATAGGACATAACTTTATTAATAAGTATATTGACATAAAAAGTAGCTAAACATCTTTTATAAAATCTCACTCTTGGTTACTTTAGGAAGACATGAAAAGTATGTTAATTCATAAAATTGCACATTATACTTTATAGTAGTTAATGGAGCGCGTGTGGTTAATTGACACATTATTGGTGACTATAAAGAGTAATAATAGGCATCTCGAGAATTATCGTTGATTAATGGAGCACTTCTGGTTAGCCGCCACATTAAAAATGAGATAATAAATGACACCAAGAGTGTCAAACCAATTTGTATGGTTATTCACATCTTGTTTGTGATCCTCAGTATCTCAGTCACAAACAGAATAGCATAATCTGAGACTAAACATGTCATTGATAAATTCAATGAATCTCAAAAGATCCATGAATTTCGTAGTTCGAAATTGGTGAATTGCTTTTACCACCTTAA